GGGGGGGTGGCAGTTTGGTGGCTGCAGAGGTTCAGGTTGGTTACTGTGCACATTCAGATAACCCTGTGCTTTTTCATGCCCATGCCCATGGTCCAGATGATGTGACCACGGATCAGACCATGACCCACTGTCAGCACCACCACAAGGTGATGATGACCTCCCTGCATCACAGTAACCCTGACTTGAAGACAAGGCACTGTTGTCAGAGTACAGGTGGCCAGGTGAACACAACCAACCACGTCTGCTGGATCCACTGAAGGCCCATCTCTCTCAGTGGTCAGTGTACTTGCTGCTGGTCAACCAGATAAAACAGTGGCCAGATGAACTCCACAAGGTTGACTAGTGGGGAGGGGCCATGATGAGGGAACCTCCCTCCATGGTAATCCCAATCACCATCTGCAGGATCCAATCACCAGTGCTCCATGCCCAAAACAGCCTGCCACTGCAGGACAGTTTGGCGTTTGGCCCACTGGGCTGTTATTTGAGGGAGGTAGGTGGCCCAGACAGTATTCTCATTCTTGTCATTGGCACCATCCCAAGGGATGCTCACACTGTGCAACCAATGCAAATATTTGTGATATGCTGCATACCACAGATCCAGCTGGCCCAGAGCAAACTTGCACCACTCAAAGGTGACATACATGTCAAGCATTGCACTGCCCCGCTGCTTGTGGGTCATGTTCTCATTGGTGACATAGGTGAGACCTAAAGTGAACATGTCAGCACTGCTCAAATGGACCATCTAAAAAGACTCACCATTCTGGAAGAGCTTCTCCTGGCAATAGAGTTGCCAACACATGAGCACCTGCATGTGCTCATACAAGGTCACCATCTGGTCAAGAATGTCAATCTGGAACCATGTGCATTGAAGGTGCTGCTCATTCCCTCCTGTCTTGATATGATATTGGGGGACCCAGATCTCAGGAAGGCCAAGGGTGACAAGTTGAGACTGGAGGGTGGGCAGAAAAGCAAATTGCAGGTGCTGGTTCACCTCAGAGAAATATGGCTTGGCAAGCATGCCTTCTTTGTGGCTGCAAGTGACCAGTTCTTCTGCAGAGGGGGTGACCATGATGGAGGGAAACAAGGCTAGAACCATGCTTGGCAGCTAGTGGATGGATGTCAAGAGCCAACCAATGCAGTGGCTCAACAACTGAGACAGGGATGTCAATGAGTAGACCAACCACAAATGGTGGCTATATGCATGTTTTTCTTGAGGGAGTCAAACAGCAAGCACTGTGCCCAGCTGCTGTGTCTTCACCTGCATTGACGGGAGGCTTGCACATTGTCAAGGGGACTGCACCATCTTGTGTGCAGGGACCAAACAGTTCTGTGGACCATAAATGGCTCACAAGACCTCTCAAGTCCTAGCCTTTGCAGGGTGGAGGCTCAAGGGAGAGGGAGAGGGGGAGGGGGGCGAGCAAAGTGATGGTTGTCAAGGGGCAGGGGAGAGTGGATGGCAGGCAGCAAGGATGGAGGCAGTGGCAGCAGTGAGGTCAGCATGAGGTGGTTGAGGTGAGAGAGATAGAGGGCATTGGACAGGACAGGTGCATTTTTCCAGTGCAATGGGAGCAATTACCTGATCACATGCATTAGTACTCTGCCTCTGTTAGCTTCCGCACCAGGGGATGCACTGATCCAACCCAAGAGGTGTCCGAAATATCAGTCCAATGGGTGGTGTGCAAGAACTCACTAGGGGAAGAGGGGAGAGAGGGGGAAAGTTGGTAGAAAACGTGGGAGTCAGCCTGTAGCTGAGCTGTCAAAAATTGGTTGGTAAATCAGAGCTTGGAGTCCACCCAATCAAGTTGCTAAGTCAAATTGAGTACGCTAAGTCGAGTCAAATCTGCCAATATATGAATAATTGGATCTGTATAACTCTGTTGGAAAAGGGGCAGAATAAGCTAGATACAGGAGTTTCTGGAAACTACTTATACTAGCTACTCTAAACAGTACTCTATACTAAACCGGTCTCTGAATACCTCTCTAAGGCAGACATTGGCATGCCGAATATCCGGGTGGGTCGATCCTGTTGCAAAGGAAACCTGCAGTCATCATGCCAAATATCCAGGTGGTCCTATTGCATGGGAAACCTCACAGTCATCATGCCAAATATCTGTGGGAGTCGAGACTTGTCGCTGGGGTGCATTGTCCTGCATAGTGAGGGTCCGTAGTGCTGTGCAATGGTCTCTAAGGCCCGAAAATAGCCATGGGAATATCGGCCTGACACACCCCACCAGAGGTGGGGTTGTTCAGCGTGTTGGACAGGACAGGTGCAATTAGGCAAAGAGCATGGGATCAATTAATTGATCATGTGCTTTAGCAGTCTGCCTCCATTAGCTTCTGCATGGGGGATGTTGCATCCATTATCCAAACCCTCTGCTTGCTGCCCTTGCCTCCATCCTTGTTGCCTGCCATCCACCACTCTCCCCTGCCCCTCAACAACCATTGCTTTGCTTGCCCCCCTCCCCCTCTCCCTCCATTCTCACTGCCTGCCATTTACCCTCCCCTGCCCCTTGACAACCATTGCTTTGTCCCCCCCCCCCCCCCCCCCCCCCCCCCCCCCCCC